TTGAGGTGTGAAGAAGTTTACTTTTGCATATGTTTAAAATTGTGGTAACTGTTTGGTATGCAATCTAAAGGGATTTCTCTGGAGCTTACCTCTTAAACTAAAGGGTTAGCATTTCTATTTTCCTATACTTCCTTATAGATAACCTAAAGTTGTGACCATCTTATATGAATACTCAGTTCAATGCTTTAAAATTTGTCAATGACAATAAAATTAACAAGTAAAGATCTCATGTGCAAGAGGAGAAATATATGAGAACTCTCTGTAACTTCTGCACAATTTTTTCTGTAAACCTAAAACTGCTCTAGAAAATAGGTGCACAGATAGAAAGGTACGTAAGTAGGTAGACAGACAGACAGATAGATAGACAGACAGATAGAAAGGTATGTAGGTAGGTAGAGAGAGAGACAGAGAGAGGTCTCCATCTCTTCTAGGTTCAGAGGGACAGATGAGTTTATTTTCTTGTATGAATATGATAACTAATGATAACTTAGCACGTGGTAGCTTATAAATCAGTTTCACAAACATCTCAAATAATTCTTACAAAAACTCTAGAACATAGATTATTGTCATGTTTCAGTCTACAGATAAGGAAACTTACTGTCTCAGAGAAATCATATGACTGATTGCTTAGCTAAAAAGTAGGGAAGACAACATTTGTACCAAGTTCACTGAAAGATCTTCACTCAATATAATTTTTATCTACGATACTTATAAATTAATAAACTGAACAAAAGATTCTATAAAATAACTCTTTTAATTGGTAATCAATTATATCTCCTCTCTCATCCTAAATGTAAAATCAAGTTTATTTTTTTTAAGATTTTCACGCAAGTTATTCAGATCACAAAAAAATTATAGCAGTTATATTTTTGAAGAATTCTCATAAATTTATAGTCTTATAGTGTAACAAGCAAATGTTGACTCAGAATTGAAAGTATACAATGGGCTTAAATTTTAAGAAAACATTATTTTCAATATTTGATCAATAACTAGGTGGGGAGAGCTAGAATTGATTTTGCCTTCCAAGATATTTATATTAGAAAATTTCAAAAGATAATCAGGCAGAATTTAGAATTCAAAAAACCTGACTTTTAGAACTGAAAGAGACTTTATAGACTATTTCAACACCAAATGCAAGAATAAGTCTCTACAGTTGCCCTGGGAAATGACTGTTCTCCAGAGAACTCAGTTCCACACAAGTAGCCCATCTACTTGTTGACCAGCACTGATTATTAAATGTTTCTTCCCTTGTTGAATTGAAATCTACCTCTCTGTAAAAGCATTTAATCTTTGGTCCTGGTGCTGTCCCCTAAACCACAAAGGATATGTCTGTCCTTTTCTAGGAGGGAGTCTGGGATTATACCAAGGGACTAATCTCCAGACATCTGCACTCTCTCCTTTTCCTTTCACTAGGACGATAAGATCAATTACCTAAAAGATTTTGCTAAGAGGCTCATAGATGATGACCACTACGCCAAGGAAGAGATTGCTGCTCGGCTCCAACAGGTGGTAGACAGGTGAGACCTGAGTGATTGTTTTGTGAGCTACACGAACATGTAGCAAAAGAACTTCTTTGATAGTCTTGAATGTGGAGATGACACTTTGGGTTCTTCTCCATTCCAGATGCCTAAAACTATCTTGACACTTTGGGAAACTTTTTGACCTAGTATCATAGAATGAAAGATCCAAAAAGTGCCTTAGAAATTATCTGGCTTAACCACTACATTTTATATTTAAAAGTAATGAAACTGTGTGAGAGGGGAAGAGCCAGGCTGGTGAATGGAAAGATTCATAGATATAGAATCAGAGCTTAGAGGAAAGGCAGAGGGCAGAGAGTGATCTGATCCCCTACTCCAGGTGGAATGCTCTCAAAGCTCAGCTAATTGCTGAGAAAAAGAAGCTTGGAGGCTATGCTGACCTGAAACAATTTAACCGTGACCTTGAGGAACTGGAAGAATGGATCAGTGAGATGCTGCCCATAGCCTGTGATGAATCCTACAAAGATCCCACCAACATTCAGGTAAGTTCAAAATAGGAATCTCAGAAAACTTCACCATACCCAGATTGTTGATTGAATGGTCATTCAACTATACTGACCACTCTGTTACTGTTGAGGCCACTGACCTCAACAACATGGACTTCTGAGTCTAACGTGCAGTGGGTTCTTCAGAAGTCATCACCACCTTCAGAAATGCTATGACAGAAACATTAACTCTTCCTTTTCATCAGCATTTACTTTATCCTGCTTCCCTAAATGGAAGGGTAATTTTGTTTCTAATTGCCTTCAGAGGAAATACTTGAAGCATCAGGCCTTTGAAAGTGAGGTCAATGGCCGAGCTGAGCAAGTGCAAGCAGTCAACAACCTGGGGAACTCCCTGATTGAGCGAGGGGCATGTGATGGTGATGAAGAGACCGTGAAGGTAGGGAT